CAATATTTTAAAAAATCCCTACGTACTTCTCTAGTCTTTTAATATGTAGATAATGAAAATTCTTTGTGTTTTGTTCAAGGTCAAATCGTGTGCCTGGAATCCTGTACACCGATAGAAAAAAAAAAAAAAGCAATCGTTAGCCAGTGCGCCGCTCTTTTGGACATAAGAAAAAAATAAAAATATTATTTTGATTTCTTACATGTGTACGATAATGTCCTTTAAGCAAATTTTAAATAAAGTTATCCATTTACCCACAAAAAATTCATGAACTTAAGGTATTATTTCAAAATTTCAGGGGTGGTGTAACTCCTTAACGAGCGAGAATGGCGAGCTCACTTAATGCGATTCCATCGGAAGCTCGGATCGAGGGGATTAAGAACGTCGGATATCGCCTCCTGATAGTGCTGCTCCTGGATGATGTCCTGAAAGCCCTGAAGGGCCAGCTTACGATCCTTCTTCTGCTTCACCTGCTGCGAGACGCTCCGTAATTTCTCCAAACACTTCATCTGCTTAAATAACGATAGCATATGCTGTTGACTTCCTCTGCAATATGCTTCCAGTATGAGGCCGAAACGAACGGACACTGCGCCAACCTGCATTTCTGACCTAATACCAATTTTCGAGAAATGCGAGCAGTGAGTAAATATTATAAGAGTATAAGGCATCCAGGATATTCCGTGAGGCTCCACGTAAAAGCGGTCGACCCATCTTTCGATCTCGACTGTCACCTCACATGCGCCTCGGTTTATATTGTTTTTGAAAATATGTTGATTAAACAATTTAAAGAAAAGTTTTCGGTAAAAGAATATGAAATGATTATCAACTTGTTTTTGCAACAAATTGATACATCGGAAAAGATTGTAAATTATAATAAATAAGCAAACAATAATATTGGGTACAAAATGCTGCTGCCACCGACCTGAGATGCCAAAATAAAAAGTGACCTATCCTCCGATTGTTAAGCGCCCGCTTTAAGAGAAACTCTGTCAAAGGACAGGCCAAGTAATTTTCGTGTTTCAGGGCTTGGGCCAGCTGCAACAGGTAGAGACTGAGATCGTCGTCGGTAACGTCTCTTAAGCAGCGTACGGCGAAATTTCTGACGTTTTGGTCAGCGTAAGCGTAGTCTAACAACTCCAACGCTTTCTCTACTGGCAGTTTCGGCCATTGTTGTATAAGCGCTGTAGCCTCCGCAACTTCTCTACAAATGTTCACGGGTCTTTTAATCTGTTCGTTCGCTCTCTCCCTCTCTCTTTCTCACTTCAACAATTTTATTTAAGCGACCAATCAATTAATCTCTTACCTGTGATCGTTCCATTCGACGCACTGTAACAGTTTCGCCAGAAGCGTCGGGATTTCGCGAAGGCTGTGATGCCTCAGCGCCCACATCGTCTTCTTCTCTTGTTCGTGCAATTCGTGCAGCGGATCCCGGTCAGCTAGCAATCTCAACTGTTCCAACTGTTGACTCACATCGGACTCCTGATTTAATTCGTCCTTAGCCAAGCGCTCGTTAGATTGTTCTCGCAATGTTTGGGCATATTCTACCATTTTCTCCGGCGTGGGATATAAGACACATTGATCCTTTCCGTAGCTGTAAAATAGCAAGAGTAGACGTGACGCCTGATGTAATCCACAAGTACAAACTTTAGCCACAAGTATAAAGCACCTTCAATTTATTGCACCCTCAAAATTTTCGAGAAAAGGCCGATAATAAAAGTCAACAGAGAACTAATAAACTATTAAAATTGTCATAAAAACGAATCTTTTTCCATAAAACCATTTTTCAATTTAATTTTCGTTAGATACAGAATGTTGACGTCAATTTGTGTGAGTGCCCAATACTTACGGCCAAAACTATTGTCACTTTGTATTATTGTCACTTGGTAAATTAGAAAGCAGATAATTACTTTGGAAATGTTAACATGAGAGCGGCCGCCCTGTCTATGTGTGGATTGGAGACCACTGTCCCGAGGGGATGAAGCAAATCATCATTTTGTATATCCTCCGCGTACGTCCACGTGTACAACGTCATAGCACCCGTTTTTAACTGAGACTTAAAATCGTATATCGTCGTATTCGCCCAGCATAGAGGATTTATGAAGAACTCCTGCTTCGAATCTCTAATCAGTCTCCTGCTCTTCAGACCCTTCGCGGTTTTACTGATCTCGTATAATACAAAGCACAGCCGCGCCATCCGCGGTATATCCCTGACTTTAATGTCGAATTTCAGAGTCTCTTCCCATTCGCAGCTACCGTCGGAACTTACAATAATTTCTTTGGTTTTTTTACTTTCGCAGAGGGATTTTCCACCGTGAAAAAGGCCAGCTTGCAGTCCAATCTGTGCAAAAGGAACAAAAGAAAGAAATGAAAATTAGAAAGCGGTAATCTTGAAAAATCCTATTTCAAAGGAATACGTAGGCAAATCAATGAGTACCCGTGTTTCAAAACACGCGGCATTGCTGATGCAAGTTGGCATTACCATCTTTCAAAAAACGCCATATCAAATTTCAGAATGATTCGGGCGATAGTTTTTATTTGACAGCAATTCGTAGTGAGTGCGTTTGGTGTTTTTCGATACAGTGGAAAAGAGCGATATCGATCCGCGATTCTCTTTTTATTTTTGGATGGAAAAAACCATGATATAAGAAGATAAGGTGAACCAACTTGAGAGATGCGCAGTAGCCAATATTTGGTTAACCAATCAGAATCCTGTCCAAAATGCAAAAAGCACTTATACACTTATACTTTTATTGTATATGTGCATTTTAGACAGGATTTTGATTGGCTGGCTTTTGCGCGTTGGTTCACCTTGTTTTCTTACATCATGGTTTCTTCTATGGAAAAAACCATAGACGGCATCAATCTTCGTTTTTATTTCTTCCATCCCAAAAAATAAAAAGCGAATCGGTCAATGTCACGGATCGATATCGCTCCTTTTCCATTATATCGAAAAACACCAAACACGCTCACTGCGAATTGCTGTCAAGTCAAAACTATGAATCACTCTGCTCTATGAATCGCATGAATCATTCTGAAATTTGGTATGACGTCAATTGAAAGATAATAGCACATGATGGTAATGCCAACTTGCATCAACAATGCTGTCCTCAAAACACGGGATACTTATCGATTTGTCCACGTATTAAAAAAAAAAACCGCGGCACACCTCTACAGTACGATGTACGGCATCGCAGTTGAGTCGAGAAATTCCGTTCACGGTGAAGACGAAAGATTCTTCGATCTTCCACGCCGAGATGTGCTTGCCCTTTTTACGTAACGTTAACGTGGAGGACGACGGTTTCGTACGTTGCAACGTATCCACGTCCGGATTGTCGAAGGCGCTATCTTGGTCCACAGGTACACTCTGCTTGCTGAGCGTGACCAGCGTAGGCATGATGTCTTTCGCCAGGCAATCTTGAATATAGCCGAACTGTATGAGCGGGATATTATCGCCGATCAGATACTCCTCCTGTCCGCAAACCTTAAGCGTAAAGTCGTTCGGTTGTTCGCCACGAGTCTTAAGAGTATTCGCCCTTTTGTTGAGGATCACCTCGAGCAGCTCGGGGGGCGTAGTGGTGTGTGCTATTTGAAAGGTAAACGCGACCTGCGACAGTGCGACAACATTTCATTGAGAATTCAAACGTCACTCCCATCTTCTCTCGGTTTCTTTCTTTTCTCATAAATACATAATTTTGACCTTACCTCTGACTTTTCGAATTTAGTAACTAGAACGATATTTCCGTCCTTCAAACGGCTCTCAATGTTTTTAGGTACGGCAGGCGTCGGCGCTATCCGCGAGGGGAACTGATACCGCACCTTCTCCATCCAGCATCTCTTCTGTCTGCTCAACGCCACGTCGTCGCCCAGGAGTCGCATCTTCCATCTGAAGTCATTCACCTCGGAGTTCTTCAGCGCGGCGAACTCGTGCAGCCCCTTGCCGATCAGGACGCCGATTTGCGAGTCTAAGTTCCTATCACTTTTTATACCCGAGCGTTCTATAACTCTTAATACCGAACAAAAGGGCTTTATATCACAGAGACGTCTCGTTTCATCCCGCAACACCTCTATCTCTGCGTTCGAGTTAATACATGAAAATAGATACGACGGCGCGTCTTTCAGCGTCCCATGAAGAGGATATTTGCTAGCCTCATCCCACAGATCCTGTCAAGCACATCCACATAGCAGCATATCAGCTTATATATTTCTTGTATAACGATCACATATAACATTCCTTTAACTGTACCATTTGGAATACTTCATGTACATTGACTGAATATTTTGCGCTCACATTGTTATACATATGTATGCATCTAGTAAACAAATTTAAATATGTAAACTAAATATATTATATTAGCGCTTTTATTAGGACAACGTATGCGTTGCTGAAATATGTTTATTATTGTTAGAGAAATATACATTTTATTTTTATACTATATAAAGCGACTACAATGAGACTTAAGTTTTAAGAAAATTGCATCAATCGCAATCGATTATTCTTCTCACGTGAGATAAATAATCAACTGTGACTGGTCAATTTTTTTAAATCTTAAGTCTTAAGTCTCATTGTAGACGACGCTTAAGGATGAATTCCACTTGACGCTTACAACGTTCTTAAGACTTCACTTCATCCTTATTATTTATGAAACATTAAACAAGAACAAATGATGCTCGTGAGCATTGTGAGCAAGTGTTGACACATCCCAAGATGCAAATATAGTCATATTTTTTTACATTCAAGCACATATTTCTACTATGGCAATCGCTAATGCAAATATATATTCCACTGATACAGTTAAAGAGAAAGATGAAAAATGTTCTCCCTAGAGGTCTGTTCTTTACAAATTAGTATACATTCGTATTTGAAATAAAATGGATACATTCAGAGAAAAAAAACTGTGATAAATATAACAATATTATAAAAGCGACAACTATAAAAGTTTTACATGTGGAATTAATGTATATAGTATTGAATAAATGGACAGTTAAACAAACTATTTTATACTTACAATAACTATAAATTTTTTTACAGTTATGATAATTTAGCTATAAAATAGCTAATATTCAACTATGTACAGTCATGAATATATCGATTGTTTTTCGTTATTTGATTGCTTACTAGAGTGGAAGATTTGATGGAATGTAACTTATTCACAATTTTATTCTTAACGCTTTTGAAATATGTAATTTGTTCGTTGTTTTTTTTTTTACTCAAATTGTGTTCTGAATTATCCTACTCCAAGTGACCAAAAATTAGGTGTTCAAGGTAGAAGGTTAATTCTACGTACAAAACACGTATAGTTACCATCACTGTGTCTCTTTCTCCAAGTGCATACATTTGAAGTTCAGTGAAAGCTTTTATAGTTGTGATAAATAAAATAAATTATTTACTTAGCTATAAAATATTTTATAGTTGTAATAAATAAAATAAATTATTTTACCGTTGTTATAACTTAGCTATAAAATAGCTTATTCAACCATATATATTAACTACGTACAAAACACATATACATAGTTGCCATCACTGTGTGCTCTCTTTCTCTGATTGCTGCATACATTTGGAGCTCAGTGAAAGCGGAAAGTCAAAAGCGGGGTAAACAACAGACCTCGGGTATTTACGTGTGTCGTATATATACACGCGTTGTGTGTACTACTCACCTCCTTGATCTGATCTAAGGTAATATTGCGGTTGATCTCAAACGGTATGACAACACCGTTTGGCATCAGGCACGTGAGTTCCACCACTGCGGGCTCGTGCGCGTCGCCGGGCCTCTCCGCCCAAAAGTTATATTTGTATGCGCTCGGTATGTTGCCGTGCACCATGATGATGATGATGATGATGAATAACAAAAAAATGGGAAAGGAAAAGAAAAGCAGAGAGATCCCCCCCGAGAATCTCTCTCTGTCCCCCTCTCGCTCACTCCGTCAGGCACAAGTAAACACGCGTGTACGGTTGGAGAGGAGGGGAGGGCGAGGATGCACCAACGTACGTCAAGAACTCCTCCTCACGTCACATGGGGAAACGTTATCAAAAATATCTCCTGAACCGTTCATGTCGCCCGACGATGAACCCGCGGCACATCCTGTCCCGTTTTGCGGCGAGGCGAGGCGAGAAACGGGGTGTCGCAATGGGTCAGGGAACGTCTCGCGCGATGGTGGGTATGTTGCTGTTTACTCCGAATTACGACACACAACCGCGAGACTCACTCTCGCTCTTTCTCTCTCTTTCCCTCTATATCTTTCTCTCTCTCGCTCACTCACTCGCTCACTCTCTCTCCGGGGGAGGTCCTCGCGCGTCCTCGCGCCGCGGGCGTCGCCTTTACATTTGCGACGTGGCGGAAGCGCGTCTCAACTGGCGCATCTCCACGAGCAGCGCCGATACCTTGTGCGTTTACGTGCCAGGATACAAATAACCATATTATCGTCTACACGTAATAACAACCCACGACTCCTCCATTATTTACCTCGCGTTCAACCAGCGACGAATGGCGACGAGTGGCGACTGAAGTCGCAACGACGAGCGGAGCGACGTGCGCGACGACTCGCGGCGACGTCGGGCGACAAGTGCGAGACACGCTTTAATGCCCGTATCACACGAGCGGTTAGTCCCGAAACACAATAGATGTAGTAAAGCCGGTATCAGACTACGCATTGGAGATTGAGATTAAGATTGAGATTAAGATTGAGATTGAAGATTGTCCAATCACATTATAGATTGCGATTTGTATTGCGATTGATAATATAGCTGCGTTCAGCAAACAAAGCAGCTCGGTGTATATACATATTTGCATATATTATTAAGATAATATACTAAATTTTGTTTATAACAATACTTACCTGTGCATGAAATTTAATTGCACGTTTATTATTGCACGAACTTAACCTCTATCTGCTTTATCATTCTCAGTAAATATGTCAGTAGTCATCACGTGACCAAAAAGTCGTCAAGCCATTGGCTAAGATTGAGATTGAAGATTGAAAAAATAGACGGAATTCTAATTTCCAAACTCCAATCTCAATCTCAGTCTGCTGTGCTCTCATTGGCTGAGCTTCAATCTCAATCTTAATCTCAATCTTAATCTCAATCTCCAATCCGTAGTCTGATACCGGCTTTAGGTTTATCTGCAATGAGAGTAGTAAGTTTTAGGGCGAATTCACACCTTGACAGAAAAGCGGAAAACATAAAAGCAGAAGCCAATCAGAACTCGCACTGGTAGCAAGAAAAGTAGAAAGCAAAAACTATTGACTACCAACGCGAGTTCTGATTGGCTTCTGCTTTTCTGTTTTCCGCTTTTCTGTCAAGGTATGAATTCGCTCTTATGCCTGGAACACATAAAAAGCATAACAAAGCATAAATATAACATAAGACCGCTGAACCAATGAGCAGCCAACATAAAGTCGCCACATTGATTTACATAAGATTCTTATTGGTCTAGCCGCCTTATGCTTTGCTTATGCTTCATTATTTCATGTGCTCCGGGCCTTAAGGTCCTGGCACAGACTTTTGCCAGCTTTTGCATAACGCTGCATAACGCACAAAATATAATGCATAAGAAAATCAACCAATCAGAGTCCTTCATTTCATATCTCTGATTGGTTGATTCTCTTAAGGTCTATCTACAATGAAAGTAGTAAAGGGAGCACAGATTTTTGCATAACTCTGCATAACGCACAAGACAAAATGCATAAGAAAATTAACCAATCAAATCACCTTCATTTCATACTCTGATTGGTTGATTTTCTTATGTCTTATGTCTTGTGCGTTATGCAGCATTATGCAAAAGCTGTGCTCCCGCCTTAAGGTGATCCTAAACTGGAATCAAACTTTAAAAATGTCGCTGTTTTACCGACAATTTGTGAGTATGTATGCGTATTGATGTAATAGTTTATAGTAATGTGTTCATGTTTACTACCTATCGATATCGCACGCACACATCGTAACAAATTTTCAAGAACATGCATCTCTTTTATTAGGCATCCAAACCTAAAATTTTGAACCTAAAATGAACTCAACATTGTTTGCACATATAATTCGTATTTCTAGCTGGTATCATTTTGTACCAACAAACTGTCAAATTTTTGTACGAAGCAAATTTGACACATATTGACAGCGCTAGACGCCATGTTGAAGAAAAAGTAAAACGGACATCTACATATTTTAATTTTTTTTTCGTTCTCAGCATAACCCTCTACCAACCGGAACTACATTGATGCCTATACTTTAATCGTGGAGAAGGATTTTTATATCTGTTGCCTTTAATTATGTTTATTTTATCATGGAAAATAATCACATTCCGTCGATAAAACAGACGATTTTAGGATCGCCTTAAGAGGATCCTAAACCCTAGATCAAACTCCAACAATCCGCTGTTTTACCGATAATTTGTGAGTATGTATACGTGCGATATTGATGTAGTAGTGTGTAGTGATGTGTCATGTTTATTACCATATCAATATATCTCACGCATACATATACACGATTTTGTAGGATTCAAATATATTTTTATTTAGGCTTCTAAATTTGATTTTAACGACTCACCTATATTCATTTCTTTATTGTATGTATGTACATACATCAAATATCAAACGTACGGATTTTGTGACCGGCGGATACATTTTCTCGCTTTGAAGCTGTGGTCATAAATCGGTATAAAACACATGCACCCGAACATGTTCCAATTAGTGTTTAACCTAAAGTGATAACT